AACGTAAGGCAGCTCTGCAATCCTCTTTGGCAGGTGTTGTTAGTTGTCTGGGGCTCCCACAAGCCTGTGGTGGCTTAAAACTGCAGGAATTCATCCTCTCCCAGTTCTGGAGAACAGGAGTCTGAGATGAAGGTGTGGCAGGGCCGCACTCCCTCCAGAGACTCCAGGGGAGAGTCCTTCCTGCCTCTTCCAGCTTCTGGGGCTCCAGGCATCACTGAGCTTGTGGCCACATCCCTCCCATCTCTGCCTCCGTCTTCCTGTGGTTTCTCCTCTGTGTCTGTGTCTCTTCTCTTCTGTGCCTCTAATAAGGACATCTGTCATTGGATTTAGGGCCACCCTCATCCAGGATGCCCTCATCTCAAGCCTTCACTAATTACATCTGTAGAGAGTCTATTTCCAAATAAGGTCCCATTCTGAGGTTCTGAGAGGTCATGAATTTTGGGGGACACTATTCACCCTAGGACAGCAAGTTCTGTGTGCATATATCTGTGACCTGTTTCCTCATCACTCTCTCTCGCGCTCTGCACGTTTCTACTCCTAGTTTGTCCTCCTCTGGTCTTTCCCATCCCAGATTTTCTTCCCACAGGCCCATTTTCCTCCTCTCCTCTGGAGCAGGGAGCTATTGGCTCTGGATCTCCTCACCTTCTCTTCACATTGGCTCCTCATCCCCTTGGAGACGGAAAGTGAGAAAGACGAGTCTGTAAAATGAAGAGGAACATAGAACAGGCAAATCCATAGAGACAGGAAGTAGAGTGGCAGTTGCCAGGGACTAGGGGATGCGGATACAGGAATGATTGCTTCATAGGTAAGGGGTCTCCTTTCGGGGTGACGAAAATGTCCCAGAACCAGACAGAGATGATAGCTGCATAACTTTGTGAATGTACAAAATGCCACTGGACGGTTCCCTTTAAAATGGTTCCTTTTATATTATGTGAATTTCACCTCAATTTTTAAAAAATGAAGAGAACAACCTGCAACACTTGGAAATGTTCTTTTTCTAAAATTTTATTTAATTCTTCAAGTTCCTGTGATGCTCTTACATTGCAACTGTCATGCACGGACACTCACCAGTTTACTCTAACGCGCCCACGCAAGATGAAGAGAATGAAGGGTGGAGACAATTTTCTGTGTATTGTTAAGCAATAAAAAACACTATCGACAATGGCTTATGTCAACACCACCCATATGATGATTCATTTACGTGCACAGTAATACCTCACTGGTTCAGATCCCACTCCTTCTGGAGGTGTGCCGGTGTGATGGTGCAGGAGTAAAATGAGAGTCAAGGTCAGAGGGAGTGAAATTAAGGCAGGGGAACCAAGATGGCAGGAGAAAATCCTATCGGTATGGAGGAAAATGACTGTAAGTGCTTTAGAGAGAACCATCTATAATTAATTATTCATTAAGGAAGGCCTCCTAGATCTTGAGAAAACACAACATTCGCATCGTGTGATGTGTAGTAGTTAAAAAATAAAAAGCGTCAAGCATGAGCGAGTTGTCTGTGTTGAGGGAATGAGTTCTGTGCCTTGATTTGGGGGTGCTGGCTGCCCCAATGGACGCACGAGACAAAACTACATAGAACCATACAGGCACCCACACTCACAAACACAAAGTGCTCATGAAAACTGAGGAGCACTGAACAGGGTCTGTGGTCTCTTATAGGATTGTACACATGCTGACATCCTGGTTTTGATATTGTGACACAGCTACAGACGATGTCACCATGGGGGGAAGCTTCGCAAAGGACGCTTGGGACTCCAGGGGATTTTTGGAATCCCCTGTGAACCTATAATTATTTCCAAATAAGTATTTTTTAATGGCACCATTGTTCACGCTCAAGGAAAGAAATCAAGCTTGTTGATATGGACCCGAAATGCAGAAAGTGGTGTTGCAAACCATTTCTTCTCTGTTGAGCAGTGTGGCCACTCTGAGCCCGAGTTTCTCAATCTATGAAATCACAGTTTAGCCCAGATGTGCCCCAAAGTCTCTTCTGTGCTCTAAAAAAAAATGCCATCATCAGATTTTTCACCAACACAAGCTGACCTTTCTTCCAAACTATCTGAATTTGTGGAGAACTGGTCGACCTAGAATGTTGACAAATTCCCATGGGGCTAGTTTATGCAAAAGCACAAAATAAGAGCCTCTGAGACCAAATGATGACCGACGTTCCACCTTATTCTATCACCAGGCTGTCGTGCCCGCCCCGTGAACGTGGCCGTCTGTTTCTACCTGGGTCTGGGGTTCACGGTGTCTCCCCCAACAGTCCTGGCATCTCCATAGCTACTGCAGGGTTTGCTAAATTACAGAATTGCACATGTGTTCACCTGCTGCAGTCTACCTGTGCTGAAATGTGAACATCCTCACAACATCAACGTCCTCACCATGTCCTCAGCGAGCATGAGCCAGCGATTCTGCCCCATGCAAGACGGAGGGATGAAAAACACAACAGCATGTTGGTGAGGAAAAGAGTAACTCACTCACATGAGAAGAGGTCAGACCAGATGAAAATACATGCACATCTTCATGGGGAAGGACTTAGCACGACCTTCAGGGAGGAGTCCAGCAGTGTCTCTTCATGCCGACTCATTCTAGAAGGTTCCGAAGGGCGGGGATTGTGATAAGTAAAGAAAGGTTAAAGAAAGGTTTGGGGGTTTTTTGCTTCTTGTTTGTTTGCCTGTGGGTTGGTTTTATGTCGTGGAGAACAGCATTGCTCAGCTGGACAACTGCATACAGACACCTTCAGACAATTCAGAACCCCTGTGGTTGCCTGTTTGGGGTGGGAATGGGGGCAAGGAGCCGTTAATAAGGAACATCTTTTCCTGAGTTGGAAGCTTAGGAAGAAGAGAATTCAGGCCCACCCTGACTGGGTTGTAACTGCAGGTACAGGGGTCACCTAGCCCCTCACTATGCCTTATGAAATCATCTAACACACTGCTGCAGATTGTGGCTCAGAGACATGATCGTGATGGTTCCGAAAGGCTTGGGATTTTGTAAAGCTTATTCTTAGTCTCCAAGGTTAATCATGCTCAGATTAATCTTTATCCACTATTAAACAAAAGGGGTTCAGGTAAAAGACTGCAGAAAATGTCACCAAAGCTTTGAAGCAACACACACACACACACACACACGCCTGGGTCTGTCACACACATCTGGGTCCCTGCTCCACTCCTAGTCCAACATCCCGAATATGGGTAACCAGGCTCTCCCTTCACACCCTTGGAACCCACAGGAAGTTATCCTTTAAGAACAAGCATCCTCTTCATTAAGAGCGGCAAAGACGACTCAATCAAAAAAGAGAGCTCACTTCCTCACTCCTCCCACTCTGCCCAGCCTGGCCCTCTTGGTCCCCAGAGGCGGCAACATTCTATTTTTAAGGATGAGATAACTCTCTGGGCACCCTACACCCACGTGGCAGCGCCCACAGGGCCCCCACGTGACTGCCGACACCAGAATCTGTCAGGTCTGCAGCCCACCCGCCTGCCCTCACCCCGCTGTCCTGGCCTCCACCCGGGGAACCTCCGCACAGGGAACCTTTCACAATAGGCCCATCCGTGTGCCCAAACGAAATACAATTACTGGTGCTGTGTGCCAAGGGACGGCGGGAGCTCCACCAGCTTTGCATTGTTTATCTGTGCTTTTACCTGTAACTGCGCTGGCCTGGGTTTCTGTCCCACCCTACTGTCCTGTGAAACACTGCCACCTTTTACATCAGCCCAGCAGAGCTTCCCAGAGGGAGGGAGGGAGACAGGGAGATAGGACACAGAGAGGGAGAGAAAGAGAGATGTCACGAGAGAGAGACGGAGAGGAGGAGGAGAGCATTGAGAGGGAGAGAAGCAAGAGAGACAAGGAGGGTGCCCCCCATGCTCTGCTTCCCAAACCAGGTTTCCCGGGGACCCCTTCCTCACAGCCATCTACACAAGTGCAGGGAGGCCACTGAAGGAAAAGAGAGGGGCCCTTCTCGGCTGGCAGTTTCAATGCCACTCTGGCTGTTTCTGTTGGTCTTATGAAGCCGTGAGTCACGACCTGGAGCCCACTGCTTCCAGCTTCCTCCTTTCCAAAATGAGGGGGACACCCAAGAAAGTACCTGAACACCCCTGCCCCACAGTCATACGCGGCATGGCCTGCTCCCCGTTTATCTTCCTGACAAGCAACAGGTTGGCACAACCCCCTTAGCAACCAAGAGTCACTTAGAAGCCACAGGCTGGCTTGTCCCCACAGCTGGAATCCAGCACTGACATGGGATTAGGATCTTCTGACCCACGCAGAGTGGTCCCACAAACCAGCGCGTTTGGGGATCCAGGTGCCCAGTGAACTGGAAACCTATATTTCCAGCCGCCCGGTTGGGGTTAAGTTCAACGATAGAGGACAAAGGAAATAAGTGTCTGATAAAACAATGCTAAATTTGGGATGAACAAGATGAAAAGCATGCACGGTGTCAGGAAATGCGTAGCTCATCTCCAGCCACCACCTCCGGCCCCCATAAAGCCACGGGACACCTGTCCCCTCCACCCCCACCCCCCGGGTTATGTCTAATGTCCACACGGGAGCATCCTGCCGCTGGGCAGAGAGGAAGGCTGGCCAAGGTGCGGTCTGCAGGTGCCTTCAGGGCCGCCGCCTCTGTCCCTGGAGGTCCCCGCCTGGGAGGACGCTCGAGGTCCCCAAAGTGAGGTGACCACCAGGAAGTTTTGTGACGTCGGGGGGGCCCAGTCACCAGGGCGGTTTTGGGGAGTAGATCTAAATAAGGAGCTTTTAGAGGCGCAGGGCAGGGTGCCGGCAGGTGGGGAAGCTCCCGGGGGCCGGGGAGACGCCCTCCAACTCTCGGCGCGCCGGGTGGCGAGGGTGCAGGGGTAGCCCAGCGCGGGGACCCCGAGCAGGCCGGGCCGGGCAGGGCCCTCCCTGGGAGGTGGCCGGACGACGGCACACGGGCCCTTTGTCTGACGCCAGCGTCCCGGGTGGCGCCGAGCGCCCCTGCGGGCCGGGTCCCCGCGCGTCCTACTCACCCACGGTGGCCACCGTGTCGAAGTCCTGCAGGCGGTAAGCGGGCGGCTCGGGCGAAGGCGCCTCGGGGCTGGGGCACTTCGCGGGCGCCCCGTCGGGGGTCTCTCCCGGGCTCTCCCCGGGGCTGGGGTCCGCCGCGGCCGCCTTGGCCAGCCCGGGCGCCTCCATGGGGGCGCGCTCAAGT